TTAACGAACGACAGCACTTAGGGGTTTTTAAAATTAACGAACGACAGCACTTAGGGGTTTTTAAAATTAACGAACGACAGCACTTAGGGGTTTTTAAAATTAACGAACGACAGCACTTAGGGGTATTTAAAATTCAGATGAGACTGCACTTAGGGGTTTTTAGAATTAGGCCGACGATATGTAATATCGTTGTGTCTCCCCGTCCATCGTCTACCTTTGCGTGTGTTCGCGCTCTTGCTCTTAAACTCGTGCTGCCGCTCTAAACGTTTCGCACGTGTCTCTTTGTGTGACACTTGGGCTGCCCCTTGGTTATTTGCCTTTGTAACGGTTTAAACATACGGATACCATGGACTTGACTACCAAATAATCTTAAGTTCATCAAGATTGTTTTTCAAATCATGGGCACCATGAGGGTTTCATTTTATCACTTGCACATGTAATATAAGCTATCTTAATTATATAAGAGTTAAAAGTTTGATAAATATTAACCCTACCCATATGGTGCTTTTATTCCAATTCACTCTTACCAGACTGAATACAATGAAGATAATGTCAGAACTATACTGAGGATATAACCGAGAACCACACCCGAATGGCGTGGTTTTGAATTTGATTTTTTTGACGTAGTCCACTTGAAGAGCTTTTAGAAATCATACGGCTCATGTCATATTGCAGAAAAATTAAAAACGTAGAAAACCACACCCCCTGGGGCTGTGGTTTCGGAATTTAATGGATTTACCTTAACCCTCTTGATTTCCTGAGCCAGATGATATGTCGCATGCTATGTCGCCGTAACAACTAAAAACCACTTAGGACCACGCCCCCAAGAGGTGTTATCAATGATTTTTAATAGAGTGACCTTCATCTTCCAATTTAGCTGAGAAAAATGGTAGGTCACATGCAATGTTACCGAAAGAGTTGAAAAAGGGTCGAGGACCACACCCACAGTGGGTGTGGTTCTCAAATTTAACATAACCTAAATTTTATAGAATTCCTGAGAAAAATGATATATCACATGCCATATCGCCGTAAGAATTAATAAAACGCCGAGGACCACACCCACAGGGGGAGTGGTTTTCAAATTTACTACAACGGCCTCGATACCCATGATTTTCTGAAAAAAATGATATGTCGCATGCCATGCATTTCTCAAATAATTATAAAAGCGCTGAGAGCCACGCCCCCTAAGTCGCCATAACGTCTACGGCCAGATAATGGTGTTGAACTGGACATAATGTTCAAAACCATGTTCAATGGCGACGGTTAACTTTGAGAATCAGTCGGCAACTGGGCTTTTACGTATATTTTTCAGACTTCGACCACCCCCAGAACGCCTCCAGGCATGGGGGTGTGACTCACGTCCATTCTATTGATGACCTAGATGTGTCGAATAAATTTGCCAAGAGTTTGCCCACCGGTCGCACGAATTACGTTGCATAGTTTCAAAAACTTGGCACCAGAATATGCCTCATTTTTTTGACCTTGTGACTTTGGTATCGAGGGGGTGGGGTCGAATTTCAAAAATTTGAAATTATATATTTCGCCTAAGGGTCTAAGGTTTCCAAAACAGTCGGGATTTTGAAAATCCGTCAAGAACTGACCCCACAGCAAATTTCCAAGTTTCCAATGTATTTAGTTATGGACGAGGTCGGCCAACTCGTTTTAGAAAAATTAGCATTGGCCGAATGTCTATTAATTTGAGATGAATAAGTCGCTTCGTTGCGGTCAATAACTTTGGGTTAAGTTCCTGGCATAATTTTATATCGTCTTGTTGTAGTATGGCCACACCGTCTAGAGTTCTAACACGACTTGTCGTTCCCCTCACTTTACTCCTACGTGGGGCACTTTGCGACAAGCATATATATGTATTTGAATGCAAGAATTTTCAAACCGCCATAACTTTTGATGGAAGGGTGATTTCGAAAAAATAGGTCCTGCGAGGGCACACCGCATACCCCTCAGGAAAACAACTATAATGACACCAGGTCATAAAATCAATCCCCTTAGGCTGTACCTCGTATAGATTGAAGCAACTCAAAATTCGATACTTTGAAGTTTCCCGCCTTTAGGAAACGTTATTTCACAAAAAGGTTCAAGTATTTGTTGTAGCCCAAGGACTCTCACATATCACCCTGCTAACACTTTTTCAATATCTTTCACTCAGTCCATTTGAAAAAATATTTACTGTCCCGCTGACCCATTTACACGTAAAGTTCAAAAGGTCATTGGGTTTTAAGAATTTCGAAAAACCATGTGCGTGCCCTATCCCTATATTTTTGACCTGGTTTTAATGCTTTTTACCATACCTCCCTATCTCGAATGGTTTGCCTACACGGCCCATAAAATTTAACGTTGGCCTTAAGTGATAAGTTATCACTGATAACATACTATATATTTCACATATACTTCCATGTAAGTAAATGGGAAAAAATAGAAAAATAACTAAAATTTACTCAAGGTTGAGTAAAAAAAGAGAATGACACAACCGAAAGGTCAAATTTACCCAACCGTTGGGCAAAATTTGCCCCTCCGTTGGACAAATTTTGCCCAACGGTTGGGTAAATTTTACCTTTCGGTTGTGTCATCCTCTTTTTTACTCAACCTTGAGTAAATTTAAGTTATTTTTATTTAGAGTGTGTTCCTAAATGGTCTTATTAATTAATCATTATTTAATACTACATATTTGCGACCAAAATCAATACTTTTTCTTGAATATTTCCTCTCATCATAATGAAATCAAAGTTGACTATAACAGAAAAAATCTGTCGTGTAAGCAGTGAATGTGAAAATGTCCACCATACTTGAAGACACATTTCCAAGCATACATACATACTGGACATTAAAATAAAATTAAAGCTTTTGCAACTTCCATTAGAATATAGAACCTAAATATGCCCCTGTTGGAGTGCAATGCAAACCAACAAAAGCTTCCAAGGAATTTGTGGTTGAGTAAAAATTCATAAAATTTGGAAAGTTTTTCAAAGTTTAATGTTTCTAAATTTAATGTTTAAAATTTCAAACAGTTTTTAGCTATCTTAATGTGTATTATTATTTCTGGAAAAAATTGAGTATTTAGGAACAACGAAATGCATCATTATGAGCAAATAAATAATATCTGTAAAAAGCACTTATTATGGTCGAGAGTAGTATTAAATAATATATGATCAGTTAAACATTCCGAAATCACTTTTTTGTACACTTGAAACCTATGATGGTAAGGGATGGGTTGGTTGATTAATTCCTGGGGGGGAATTCAATTCGAAGATAAGCATTGCGTAAGCATAGATTTTGCTAAGCAATGGAAAATTTGGATTCAATTAATCCGAATTTAGAAAGTTGCTTACTCATACACTTACGCCAAAAATCTTATTCAATTAGAAATATAATTCTTAAACCTTGCGTATTTTTAAAGTACTCGGGAGCAGTATTATCTCTTGCTTAAATAACTTCCATAGCCAATGTATGTACCTGTCTGCCTTATCATTTTAACCCTTTGATTTGAAACGATAATTGTCGTCATTTAATAAGAGATGGTTTAACTCGAGAGAAAAATTAAAGCCGTCCTGCAAAATTGTGGTCGTTTCTAGGAGGTCATTGATTTTCATGATTTTCTCTCCGCGGCGTAAAATCTGTTGTAACTTTGAGGGATTTCTCTTTTCTTAACCAAATGTTAATTTGAACATTTCCTTGCCCAAAGTTAATATTTATCAATACTTCAGTGAATCACTTTCCTCCTCCCGCACTGTCGCCACAACATATTTATAACGTCCCCAAATAAATACTTTCTTGTAGTTAATTATACTTCTTAAAGGGTTAAAGAAACATGTCGGTGCCATTGTTTGTTTTGAGGAATGAACGTAATCGACGCTATCCCCAAAGAAAGTTACTTGAGAGCCTCTCCGAATTTGAAATTAGAAAGCACACTGGCTTGCCATGGTGGGGAGCTAGAGAGATTTTGGGGTGGTTAGAACCACATGTGGAACCGAAACAATTTACAAATCATGCTGTGACGGCGGAATCTAAAGTTCTTACGACACTGGGGTTCTTTCGATCAGGAGGTTTTCAATGGTTAATGGGGTCAGATTGTGGATTATCCCAACCAACCGCGTCAAGAATTATAGAGCAGGTAAAAGTTTTAATATTAAGTAATATTAACACTCGCTTATATTATGTTGTAAGATTACAATCGCTCTCTACGATTTTATTTTAGGTCAGCCGAGTTCTTGTTACGGAGTCGCCAAAAATCGTATCTTTTCCCGATGCAGCTGAACAGAAAAGAATTTCTACAGCCTTTCATGCCAAGAGTAGATTTCCAAATATAATAGGAATTATCGATGGGTCACATGTGAATATAATTTCGCCAAGTCAAGACGAAAGGTCATTCGTGAATAGAAAACAAAACCACTCAATCAATGTCCAAATTATTTGCGACGACCAATTCCGATTCATTGACGCCGTGGCAAGTAATCCGGGTGGCGCACATGACTCGTTTGTGTTCCGAAATTCTCACATTCATCACCGATTTTTGACAGGAGAATTTGGGAATGGAAAATTAATAGGTAGGTAATAGCTAAGAAGTAAAGTGGAATTTTAATTTAATGTATTTATTTTGTATCTATTTAGGTGACTCAGGATATTCTCGTTCTCCGTTTATGGAGGTTCCTTATGCTAGGGGAATTATTACTCCTTTTCAGAACGATTACAATAAAAGGTTAACGTCCGTTCGATGTGCCATTGAATGCACAATTGGACGATGGAAAAGTAGGTTTAGATCCATGCACAGGTAATTAAACGATTTATTAAACCTTTAAAAATTAGTGTATCGCTGATTAACATTTTAACAGGACCGGGGGAGAACTTTGCTATACTCCAACAAAAGTTTGTCGCCTAATTATTTCAACAATCACGCTTCACAACTTTTGTCATACGACTAATATCGCATTACTGAACGAAGATGAAGATATTTATAATCAAATAATTAGAGAAATGAATGATGAGGATTAATTATTTTTCATAATTTGTAGCTTCTCCTTTTCAATTGAGTTTCGCTCCGCCAATAAATCAACTATTTGTGCCAGTTGCATTGTTTGAGTCTCCAATAATTTAACTTGTTTAGCTTGTAATGCGAAAAGAGTAGTTTCCAGAGGACGTTTCGTTTGTTTCTTGAAAAAATGTGGAGCATTTTCTTCCGAAGCATCAGCCGGGTTGTTTGTTCTTGAGCCCGTGTCTCCAATTGGGATGAGGCCCGTTACCGAGATCAAGTTTAATGGCGCAGTATCAACGGTCGACACTAAATATTTTAAGAAAGAGTTTAAAAATTGTGCTTGACTGACGGGAATTGAATTAAGCGTACTAACTTTTACTAATGTCGATTCCACCCTCAATTCCTGAAATTTCGACCCGTGGAACAAGTGCCAAAATTTTCTCTCCTACGGTATTTTGGGGTTGTAGAATCGCAGACCCTCCTCCAGTTTTTTTCATTTCATTCGAATTGTTGGTCTCGATTTTTTTCACGCTACTTTTCAAAACTTGATACTTCTTTTTCACCTCGGCTACGCTTCTAGGAATGTTAACGGAAGAGACAGCATTAACTTTTTCGGTGACATCATCCCATAGCTCATTTTTCCGATTGTTGGTCAAGGTTGAACTAAATCTTCCAAAGAGTGCATCGTAGTGAAGTCCAACGGTGTCGACCAAAGCCTCACATTCCTTAGTGGAAAAGTTTGGGCGTCCTACAAAGTATTTATTAATTGACCTATTTTTATTAGAGGGAAAGCTCATAAAATACGTAACGCAAAGCAGGGGAGGGGTTAGGCTGTTGTGTTACTGGTCCCCTTGATCAGTTAAAAAAATGGGGTGTAAAAATGGACTATATCCCTCAACGAGGGATGTGTAAAAAAATGACTAATTTTGCGTTTCGTGTTTTCTGAACATTCCCAAAATAAATATTTATAATTATAATTTCTTACTCTTTCCATTTGTGTCAACTAATTCCATCTTAACTGAACTTTTCGAATCCATACCACATAAATATTATTTTGTTGTGACAATTAGCTACATAAGCAAACTCCGACCTAGATAACTGTTCTGATAAGTTTTGCCAGCTGACACTGTTTTGTGGTGGAAAAACTTGCGCAGTGCTAAGCAAAAGACAAGAGATACGCAAATTTTGAACTTCCGCATGCTTATCTATTGAATCGCGTTTTTTGCTGAGCAAAATCTATGCTCAGCAATGCGTAAGCAAAATCTATGCTTACGCATGTCACAATTGAATTCCCCCCCTGGTTTCAAAACTTACAATATTAAAGAACTAAACTGCTTAGCTGCCGTAAAGCAACTTGGTCTCACGTGTGATAGATGTTTTCAGCTTTTAGAATATAGTTTTAAGGGAAACCCCAGCTAAAAACTATTAAACCCCAAATAAACCCCATTTAACATGGTAAAACCCAATGGGTTTTATTCGTTAACAACCCATTAAAACCCAAAAAATACAACCAAATAAAACCCTGGGTCGGAATACCCTGTATTGAATTATTGAAACAAAATTTGACATAATTATTGGAGTTCAGAATAAACATGTACATACGTATGCAAGCAGAAATCACACAATTTTAGAAAATCAGGTTTGATGAGAACAAATCAAACTAATAGGGGTTTACAAACTCATCACTTTTAATTCTTCCAACCACTTATAAGTCATTCCTCAATGTTGTAAGTATTTCCTTAATGACTTATAAGTGGTCGGAAAATTAAAAGTCATGAGTTCGTAAACCCCTAATGTGTTTAACAGGCACATTATAATCGTAAGTATGTATATTATTGTATATATGTGTATAAGTTATGGAAATATGTACACTCTTAATAATCCGGTAAAGTCACGAAGGTAATGATTTCTCGGTAATAAATTTGATAGCAATATTTTACCAGGTAGTAAAAATTCGTTACCATGATGGTAAAACTTTATTAACAAGCTATTACCACAAGGTACAACTTATCATTACCGCTTTGGTAGAGTCATATACTTGTGCTTCTCCGTAGTATTTATTAACAGATTATTTACAGTGCATGTATCCACAATTGCATTTGTGTACATAAGTATGTGCATGCGAGAAATTAATCATGCATAGAAATAGAGTCTTGCGGTTAAAAACGTACATTCTATACAACCTGATCCTTGAAATACAAGACGAACACTCATGCTCACCCGTCAGACTTGTAAGGCAATGTCCCAGTAAGGAGAGATATTTCAGTTTAAAAAAACTCAACCCGTGTCCTTGCGGTCCAACAATGACCAGTTTTCAACGATAACCAGTTTTCCTTGCGTCAAGTGTCTTTTTTGAGGTCATGGAATCATACATATTTATACTTAAAAATAGAGTAATATGCATATTCCCGAATGGATATACCCGCTCCGTAATGTTATTGACTTGGGAGTAATAATACCTTCCTAACCGATAGGTAGTAGTTTATTTTTGGGTGGTGAGTTTGCCATTACCACAATATTACCAACCGATAAAGGCCGTTGTACCATTCATAGACCTGTGTACACCGGTGAGTAATTATTTAATACTAGTTGTTTTTTTTGGTTTAGCATGATTTATTTAATCCAAAAGAAAGTTAGGACTAAACATTTTCTAAGAGTACATGTTCATCTTTAGATCTGGTTCCGTAATGACCAGAGTCAGGCTATGTATGTATTTTGAACTTGTCAATAACAGCCCGATTGAATTGTAACTTTGGGATTTTGTTTGTGGTCAGGCATAGGTCACACGGTCAAAAAAATATTTTCAAATATTTTACATATTCGAGGTTTTGAGACATATAAATATGTTGTAACATATTTCGGCGATTTTGCCAAAAATGTGAATTTTTTGATATACATAAATATGTTTTTACATATTTCGGCGATTTTGTCATAAATATATTTTTTGGCAAACATAAATATGTTTTTACATGTTTAAGCGATTTTCCAAAAATATATATTTAAAAAAAACGTCAGAAATTCACAATGCATAAATAATTCCGACCATTGTGGAAATATGACACCAGATTGTGTGGAAATGCTATTAGTCTGTCACTTTGAAATGTCAAATTTTAAGCAATTTAAAGGGAATTTAAAAGAATGTTTTTTTGACATATTTTGGCGATTTGTTTAAACATTTTACATACATATTTCAAGGTTTTTAAGAATATATTTAGCCGGACTCTGGTAATGACGCTACCATAAAAATTAAGCAAATGGGATTTTCGACCCTATGGTGCAAGTCTATGTAGCTAAAATAATCAAAACTGAGCCGAAACATTGGTTAACGTATATACGCGAAACGAGACTCGTACTCAAGCACCATAAATATTTTTTCCCATTAAACAGGTTTTTACATATGCAAACCACCGTGTACCACTCGAAAAATCTTTTCATAAGATAATTACAATCTTGCTGTTGCTATGAATGCATGCCAATTGTGATCTTATTATAGGGTTGCCCCGGATACCGGGTGATTACCCAGTACCCGGCATACCCGGCCTGTTTTGGGATACCTGGTACCCGTCCGGGTATACTTAAGTACCCGTTCTACCAGTCCGACTAATTTAAACATTCAATTTTCTTAGTTGAAACGCAAAACATTACAAAAAATATAATCCCATAGATTCTATTTTTGTACTTCTAATACGATAGTGCGAAGTGGAACCCTTCGATTTGTTTAAAATTTTAAAATAATGTGGTCCAAGTCAATACAACCACTGTTTCTTGAGACAGCTTGTGCTTTGGTTGGAATTCTTCAAAATATTTAAGGTCAAAATTAAAAAATGGGAAATTTTTACCAAGCAGAGGAAGCACTCCCATTCCGTTCAAATAGTAAAATCGTCCATTTTTCAACTTTGACCTCGAATATTTTGACAAAATCCGACCATCACTACTACATATTTATAATTAAATATTTCCCACTGTCGGTATTAGATGTGGGTAATAAACTCGTCATTAAATTATTTCAAAGTAAAATTGTTTTCACCGATTCCCACGCGACACAATAGAAATATTTGTTTCTCATGCTCTAGGCCAGCTTTCTCGATCCATCGCTCTAAATGTATTGATTAAAAGCATGAAGGGCACATTCTGCATACATTCTAAGTATACCCGATGAATTTTCGATCTGCATGTTTTCATGCGACAATTTCGGCTGGAAGTTCTGTTTGGTACACCTTTCCAACTTAAATCTTCGTTCAAGGGCTCAATAAGTGGCCTACAGTACAACTGCAGGCATTTTAATCCTAAATCAAATCGGTTTTTGTGACCTCCGTATTAACAATGAAAACTTGGTACTTAAATTATAGGTTTATAACCACCATGCACTAGTGTAAATGTGCATTCCGGTTTATACATGCATACATTCATGCATGCTTATCTACATAAAATAAACTAACAGTTACAACTCCCACCTCTCATTTCCAGGTACATATTTTTATCCTGACGTTTGATGAATCCAACTTGGAAAGACGTTTCTGTTTGTAATAAGGATCTCTACCTATTGAACCATGCTTCGTTTATTGCATTAATTGTATCTTGAATATTTGACATATTATTCAAATACAAAAATACTGCAAACGTCTTTCTGGGGTTATTCCGTTTAATGAAGTGCTTTATTGACAAATGTCTTTATGATGCAACTTAATCAAATTCCACACATGAATTGCTTAGTTTTTTTCATCTCGATGCTGACTAATGCAAGTGTTTCGAACTTTTTCATATGGTTATTTTTGTCAGTTCAACTGCATTGGAATGGATTGATGCTCTTATAGGTACAGAGTAATATTTGTGCTCGCAGAGATAACATTCACTGGTACTTGTAAATCTTCCTCCCTTTCAATTATCATTCGTATTGTTTAAATTGTTGTTTTCAATCTTTTATTACAAAAATTTATATTAGGTAATCGCAGAGTTATCAAGAGAAATGAAATTATGCAGAAATATGTATCGCAGTAAATATATCGCAAAAACTAACTACGCAGGAGTCATACAAATGAGTCCCTAACTTTAAAAAAATCGTAGAAATTCGCAGAAAATCGCAGACTATATCATTCTAAGCGTTCCATTGACAATATAAATTGTATTATTATATTGTTAAATTACTTCGCCCCCCACCAACTTCGTCATTTGGTTTGCGTTCTGGTTCTTCACTAGATTCTTCGCCACCAATTTCATACTTAATATTTATCATGAACTGAAATGGAGAAAAGTTATGAATACTCTCGTTTTAATCAAATGATTTAATAGTTTAATAACAAATGTACAGATCGCCAATTAACTTTTATACTTACTGAAATCCTTCGCTTTCGTTGACAGATTTCTAACCTCGTAGTATTTTTCGTAAATTTGGGTTCAAATGTGTTTGATTAATCAAAGACATTTGTGAATTCACAAACAATCAGGCATAATAATGGTAAATCTAATAGATTTAATCTACGCATTAAAATTTAAAAATGTTGATGGACGATATCTTCTAGTGATTTGTAACACGTATGCTTAATTTATGTTTTATTATTATTTTTGGTACATCTAAGTACTTAATTACTTTTAATAATTATGGGACTTTGTCGATTGTTAATAAATTTTGAAAACAAAATTGCTGCAAAAAAATATTTATAACGAACAAACATATTTATTGATTGCAAATTTGATTTGATTTTTTTATTTCTTGGCGTAATTAAGCTAATCCACTCAACAGCTCCAGCAATGCTATGTGCATTATGTAATTAATTTCATAAAGCTTATTTTCGTTTGTTGAGACTGGGAAGAAGTTGTTTAGGACAAATATTTTCCAAAATTCATTTTTTGGTGCATAACGTGATAAACTACTGTATA